CTCCTACCTAACAGGTTTTTCCTTCTCAATCTCCTTTGCTGGGATTGCCTTTTATCTCCTCTTTCATTGAGCTCATTTTTAGTCTTCTATCTACACTAATGCCATATCATCTATATAGTGATGGTGTTCACATTCGTATCTTCAGACTGGACCTTCAGCTGCTGCTCAACACATCTATTCAGATACCAAGTAGGCTTCTCATCCTGGTATTTCTCCCTGTTCACCCCACCTGCTCTTCTGACAACCTCTCAGGTGTCAGATCATAATAAATCCATTCTGACAGTTGTTCAGGACAAAAATCTTGCAGTTTTCCTTATTTCTTTTTCTCTCATATACTACCTCTACTCCACCATGAAATCCTACTGGCTCTACCTTAAAAATGTGTCTAATATCCATCCATTTCTCTATACCTCTACTGTTTCACCTTTGATCTGAGCTGTCTTCATCTCTCATCTTACTGCAATACAATAATAACTTCTTAACTGGCCTTCCTGCTTCCACTCTGTTCCGCTTCTTCAGTCCACGCACAACACAGTAGAGTAATCCTCATAAACAGAAGTTAGATCATGTCACTCTTCTTCTCAAAGACCTGAATTTACTCCTCATTTCACTCTGAGTAAAAGCCAAACTCCTTATAATGGCCTGTTATTTCCTATATGATCTATCTGCACCCCTCTTCTTACTTACAAATATTCCATATTTTAGGGAATAGCAGTCTGATTTGACGAATCTGCTTAAACCAGAAACTTTAGAGGCTTCCTTGAACTTTTCCCCTTTACCATCATACATCCAATCAGTTATCATAACCTGTTGATGGTTTCCTTGTATCTCTCAAATCCATTTACATCTTTCCATTGCTGATGACATTGTTTCGCCCCACCTCCAATTTAACCTCATCTCAAATCTATCTACTACATTTTAATACCAGAGTGATCTTTCTAGTTAAATGCAAATCTATTCATATCACTCCATAGTGTGTCCAACTCCACATATCTGTCACTTTAACCAACTTTTTTGATGATTCATAAATTGATACTTGGAATATATAAGACAGTGCCTTACAAGTAGGAAGCTTTATTATAATTCAGGCTACTTTTGAAATGTCTGTTATGATAAAATCATTGGGTCACTTACTCAAACTGTTACAATATATAATTCATTTTTTTTAAAGATTTTATTTATTTATTTGACAGAGAGAGATAACGAGAGCAGGAACACAAGCAGGGGGAGTGGGAGAGGGAGAAGCAGGCCTCCTGCTGAGCAGTTTGCCTGATGAGGGGCTCGATCCCAGGACCCCAGGATCACGACCTGAGCCAAAGGCAGACACTTAACGACTGAGCCACCCAGGTGCCCCTATGATTCATTTTTGAGGATATATTATTCTTTTTTCTATAAATAACATTTTGTCAAGATTAATTCTTTTGTGCATGTAGTCATTTATAAAATGAACTGTAGATTTATCTAATAATTTAGATTATATTTTTAATTTAAGAAAAGGTCAGCTACTATAAGTACAGACCTATGTACATATCTAGGCTATTTCCATCTTAAGATTACTGTAGATTTTAAATAATATTAAATAAGAAAAAAATAATATTAAACAATAATGATGAAAATATTAAAGAAGAATATTAGTTTCCATAGTCTACAAAATATATCCACATAAATAAGCTCATTTATTACTAAAAGTACTCAAAGAGTAGATATTATTTCCCTTTTTCAGAGGAACAAATGGGAGTTCAGAGAAGATAAGGATTTGATGAAAAATATCCAGCCAATCAGTGACAGAACTAACTCTGGAATTCACACTCTTTCAATGTATACCATGTGGTAGTGCCTGTATGTGCAGGTTTTTATTTATTTATTTAATTTTATTTTAGAGAGGTAGGGGGAGGGCAGAGGGAGAGAGAATCTTAAGCAGGCTCCATGCCCAGCACAGAACCCTACACAGGGCTCAATCTCACGATGCTGAGATCATGACCTGAGCTGAAATCAAGAGTCAGTTGCTTAACTGACTGAGCCACCCAGGAGTCCCATATGTGCAGGTTTTTAAATACAAAGTATAATAAACCATCTATATATAAAATAATGAATGCTACTTTTCAAGTTGATAAATACCTGCCTTAAAAGTTTTATTTATAAAATTAAAAGTTTTAGTTTTTAATGTAAAACAAATCAGCATTGTCCTTCCACACTATTACTAAGTATCAATCTATTCTAAAATTTTTGATGTAACATGGAGGTGACATATTACATTAGGAAACCATAGGAACATGCTGTTTGAAACCATTTCACCCATTAAAAGGTTAGATTTTGGTTCTATTCAAAGGTCAGATCTGAAAATACCAATTTTGGGATGTGTGGCAAGTTACAATTTCTTCACACTTTCTGGACGGTACCACTGAAGTTCTGATAGCAGTAAAATTTGTGTTTCTATCCTCTCCCCCTAGTGGTCAGAGATTTGGGACTAGATCCATCACTTCTTTCACTCTTAATTTTTGTTTAAATAAATAAAATTTCTACCTACCTCAAAGGACAGTTGAAAAAATTCAAAAATTAATCATCCAAAAAAAACCACTTAGTGTACCAACTAAAATGAATCTCAGATTTTCCTAAAGCAAGTATTGGAGGACTTGTCATTCCTCCCATTTTAGAATTTTAAATCTGGAACTAGTCATTCAAGTAAGTATTAATTGAGTAATAATTATATATGCAGAACATTTTCTGGGGTCCATACACCATTTATATTCACAAATCAGATCCCCTTCCCTCCTCTCGTAATGAATCTGGTGCATGGCAGACATAAAATAAATGCTCATACTCAGTGAGTGCAAGGCTTCATGAATATCATAATGACTCCCACTAACAGTTACTAACATTTGTTGAGCACTAACTATGTGACAGACACAGTGCTAATTACTTTGCCTCCATTCCCACTCTATAGGAGAAGCTAATATAAGTTAATATAATTAATTAATTGTTAGTTTAATTCTATAGCTAAGAAAATAATAGCATAAAGAGGTTAAGTCTTAGCTAGCTGGTGAGAAGTTCAGTCCCATAGTTAGTAAACAAACTTAGGTAGCCTGACTTCAGTGCCTACAAAGTGTCAGAGATCCATCCATTCTACCTTACAGTTCTAGAAAAAGGAGAGAAGATAATAAATAAGGAAACAAATGAACAGTGTAATTTTACATAGTAAATAAGGATATGGAAAAAGGAAAACAGGATAATTTGACAGAAGTGACAAGAGCAATGTTGAAACATGGTTTATCCTCTTTCTGTGTTTCCTTGTCTACAAATAATAACACCTAATTCATACATCAGTTATGAGATTTAAATAGGTTAATATACATGAAATGCCTAAAATAGTATATGATGTATAGTATTAAAGTTTTTGCTTAAAACTTATTAGTTATATTTATGATTATTCTTTTTGCATCTTTGTTATTATAATTGTCATCATATTGAGGGCCTTACTCAAGATAAGGTGATCTGGGCAGGCCTCTATGAGAAAGTGTATTTGCACCAAAACCCAAATGACACTTAGCCACATAAAAATTTGAAGACAGATTCCAGGCAGCAGGAACCAAAGGGCAAAAGGCCCAGGACTAGAATGCCCAGAAGAGAAGGCCAGCGTGGGCCAGGATGAGTTTGCTCAAGTTTAGATTAAAGAGCTGGTCAGAGGGACGCCTGGGTGGCTCAGTCGGTTAACTGTCTCCCTTTGGTTCAGGTCATGATCTCAGGGTTCTGGGATCAAGTCCCAGAGCCGGCTCCCTGGTCAGCTGGGAGCCTGCTCCTCCCTCTCCCTCTGCCTGCCACTCCCCCATCTGTGCGTGCTCTCTCTCTCAAATAAATAAATAAATAAAATCTTTTTTTTTTTTTTTTAAAGAGCTGGTCAGAGCTAGGTTACACTGGGCTTCATTGGCCATAGTGAGGAGTTGGATTTTATGCAAAGTTCAGTGAGAAGCCACTGATTATTTTAAGTATGATAATGACATACTTTGATTTGCATTTTATAAATATCATTCTGGTTGCCATGAAAAGGTTAGATAATAGCTTCCATAGAATATCAATGTTACCACTTCCATTATTTTTAAAATCTTAGTTTTCCCAGGGGAAAATAATTTTCTTCCTGTATTTTTGGAACGTTTGTATCAGTGCTCTTAAAAGTACACTCAGAGTAAAAGACATAAGAACGGCGTATATGTTTATACAGTCATACACTCATTTTGAACAAAGGTTATATGGAATACCCATATAAATGATACCTTCTGATTCTAAAATTCATATTAATCATATCTAGTGGATTTTAAAATCATATCTCTTTAAAGGAAAGTAGTAGAATAGTTCACTTACTTTAAATTAATATAAGGGGAGGAGATTCTTTAGGCCTCACTTCTCATATTTCTATCATTTGGCCTTACCAGTTATTAGATTCTTGCCCTTCAAGAAAGGTAACATTGCAAATCTGATTGGGTGGCATGTATTACTAGTGACTGTGGTTACTTTCCTTAATCTTCCCCTTACCCCCCGCACTATTTCCTCACACCTCTCTTCTCCAAGTTCACCTTGGTTTGAGTACATTGAAAGCCCACTTAGGCCATACCATCCAACTCAATCTTACCAGGTTGATACAAGTTCAGTAGCCTCAAAGCAGCTATTAATAAAGTTGTATATTGATGAGTTGATACCACTGTGTGGAGAGGGGTAAATAGCGGTGGAAGAAGAGCATTTCCAGGTCTCTGGTTATTTCACTACCATAACAGCGTTAAGTCGTCATCTTTAATATGTAATACCTGAAAGGCCATTAATGTATTCAAAAGAATATTATATCCACACTCTGACAAAAATTAGAATGCCCTACATTGCTATACACGTAGGTGAAAAAAAAAAAAACCAACCCTGCAATTTAGATGAAGATTCCTCTTAATCCCTCTATCTCATTAAGGCTTTAGGTTTAAAAGTTCAAAAATATAGCTGCATAAAGTGAACTGTTTTACCTGAATGGCCAGTTCCCTTGTTCTTGACTTCTGTGGTTCCAACAGAAGAGGTGGGTGGACTAACAGGAGGGCTGGAAGTAAAGCTTGCACACCCTGCAGATGTGTTGATTTCAAAATATTCTTGGTTGTGATTCATTCGATGAAAATCCAGAGAAGACACAATAGATGTTCGTTGTTTAGGCTAAAATAAATGAGCATGATGAGAGTATTAATATGATCATGTTCATCTTCAGCCCAGTCTCCCAATTGATTTAATCTAACTGATGATTTTTTCAGTTAATCTATCTGGCTTTTATACTTAAAATATATATTGTGCTTTACAGAGAGACACTAAATAATCCCTTGATGAATTAAATAATGAAAAAATTATTTAATGAAAAAATATTTTGGCATAGTGGATAAAATAACTTAGACTTTTTGTTAGATTTCCCCAGAAGACTGTACAAATACAGTACATAAAATTTCTCTTAATAATCAATTTGGAAAGTTGCAATTCTAAGTCACTTTTCATTTAACTAACATTTATTAAGCATATGGCATTTGCCAGACCCTGAGGATATAGACTCTAATAATAAAAGAGCTCTTGCAACATTGAAAGCATAATTAAGGCAGTTCTGTTTTTTGATCTCTATATAGTCCAAGAAATTGATAGCATTAGATATTGTCCCCAAGTACCATATGCTGGAATTTGATAATCAGAATTAAGTAAAGTTACATAGAACATTTCCCAGGACTTAAGAATCTGCATGGTATTTGTTGTGACTTTGATTTCCTTTTTTAAGGATTTTAATTAATCCTCAAAGAGCAAGAAAAGTCAATTTAAACATAAAAGTTAAAATCATGGAGCAATAGCAGATATAATCTATATACTTTACCAGTAATGGATTATTCCCTATAGCAGTTTTCTGGGGGTTTTTTTCCCCATAGTTTTAATTATATACACTTTTCTTCCTGCCTAGCAGAGCAGACCAAGTTTACCGATCAATGAGCAGAGCAATATCCTTTAAAACTGCAGTCTTTTTGGCTTTCAGAATTGTGTGCATTTCCCAAGAATCAATCTAAGTTTTCTTACTTCTTATTTTTACTCACATTACTGAAATATTAACAATCTCCTATAATAATTAACAAGAGATTAACTGCAATTTCTTTACAATAAAATTTATTGTACTGGGGAGGAACAAGATGGCAGAGGAGTAGAAGACCTAAATTTCATCTGGTCCCAGGAATTCAGCTAGATAGGGATCAAACCATTCTGAACACCTACAAACTCAACAGGAGATCGAAGAAAAGAATAACAGCAACACTTTGAACAGAAAAGTGACCACTTTCTGGAAGGTAAGACGTGTGGAGAAGTGAATCCGAGGTGATATTCGGGAAGATAGATGGCGGGGGAGGGGGCCTCCATCTTATCGCTACCGGCAAGTGATAGAGCAGCAGAGCACAAAATTGGAACTTTTAGAAGTCTGCTCCACTGAGGGACGTTGCTCCAGTAGCTAAGTGGGGGGTGGAACACTCGCTGGGACTGTGTGGTCTCGGGACCCTCGGGGTCACGGGAAGACCAGGGGTGCGTGAGTGTGGCAGAGCTCCCAGGTGTTGGAGCAGGGAAGCCGGCTGTAAAGATGGAGCCAAGGAGTGGTCTCTCAGCTTGTAGTTGCCATAAACCATGATCCACGGCATAGTCGGGCCACTGCTCTTCCAGCAGGGACCCAACAAGCGGCAGATCCGGGGAGACTCCCCTTCCTCCCCCGGGAGGAGTGGTGCGGGAGTGCACCGCAGGAATCTGCCTGGGTTAGGAGACTCCAAAGGGGGTCATGTGCTGAAGATAGAAATGCTCGGTCACAGGCTGGGTGAGCACAGAGTGTGGCAGGAGACCGGGGAGACGGGAGTGACTGACTGCTTTTCTCTGGGGGCGCACTGAGGAATGGGGCCCTGAGTTCTTGGCTCCTCTGGAGCGGAGATTGGGAGGCTGCCATTTTCACTCTCGTCCTCCAAAGCTGTATGGAAAGCTTGCAGGGAACAAAAGCTCCCGAGAGCAAACCTGAGCTGATTACTTAGCCCAGACCGGCAAGGATGGGGCAATTCCGCCTCCAGCAAAGACATTTGGGAACCACGGCAACAGGCCTCTCCCCCAGAAGATCAGCAAGAACAGCCAGCTAAGACCAAGTTTACCGATCAATGAGAATGGCAGAACTCCAGTGCTAGGGGAATACTGCACATAGAATTCATGGCTTTTTTTTTTCCCCCTGATTCTTTAGTCTTTCAAAGTTAGTTTTTAAAATTTTCTTTTTTTCTTTTTCTATTTTTTTTAATTTTTCTTTTTCCCCTTTTCACCCAACATTTTATCAATCCCTTTTTTAAAAATCTTTTTTATTTTTCACTTTTAGAGTCATATTCTAACCCTTCATTGTAGTTAACCTTATTTTTTGTATATATATAAGTTGTTCTCACTTTAAAATTTTGGGATACAGTTTCTTCTATCAGACCAAAATATACCCTAAATCTCTAATGTATGGCTTTGTTCTAGTCTCCTGCCTGATCACATTCTTTCCCTTTTTTTTAAAATTTCTCTTCTTTCTTTTTTCAACCAACTTCTTATCAATTCCTTTTATAAAATCTTTTATGGTTTTCAGCTTTACAGTCATATTCCATCCCTTCATTGTATTTACCCTTATTTTTGTACGTATACAAGTTTTTCTTTCCTTAAAACTTTGGGAGACAGTGTCTTCTAACAGACCAAAATATGCCCAAAATCTAGTGTGTGGCACTGATCTCTTCACCCACCTGATCATATTTGATCATATTCTTTTTTTTTTCCTTTCTTTCCCTTTCGTTTTCCCCCAATTTTGGGTCTCTTGTGATTTGTTTAGTGTATATCTTTCTGGGGTCATTGTTACCGTTAGCAATTTGTTCTCTCATTGATCTATTCTCCCCTGGACAAAATGACAAGATGGAAAAACTCACCTCAAAAAAAAGAACAAATGGCAGTACTGACTGCCAGGGACCTAGTCAATACAGAGATTAGTAAGATGTCAGAACTAGGGTTCAGAATGACGATTATAAAGATACTAGCTAAGCTTGAAAAAAGCATGGAAGATACTAGAGAAACCCTTTCTGTAGAAATAAAAGAACTAAAACCTAACCAAGTTGAAATAAAAAAGGCTATTAATGAGGTACCATCAAACTGGAGGCTCTAACTGCTAGGATAAATGAGGCAGAAGAGAGAATTAGTGATATAGAAGACCAAATGATGGAGAATAAAGAAGCTGAGAAAGAGATAAACAACTACTGGATCACAAGAGCAGAATTCAAGAAATAATTGATACCATAACAAAACAATATTAGAATAATTGGGATCCCAGAAGAAGAAGAAAGAGAGGGGCAGAAGGTATATTGGAGCAAATTATAGCAGAGAACTTCCCTAATTTGGGGAAGGAAACAGGCATCAAAATCCAGGAG